GAGATCTGATGTTTCTGGTGAGATCTGATGTTTCTGGTGAGATCTGACGTTTCGGGTGGAGATGATGTGTTTGAGGCCGGGCTGCGGGTCATTTTTGGTTCCTTTCTGGAGATTGAAACCACACATCACTAGTGATGTTTGCAGTTGGACTTGTCTCTGACTGAACCCTTTAATAATAATCTGACTGAAACAAACCATAAATCTGATTTATGTGTCCGACACCCAGACCGACTGTCCTGCTTCAGCAGGCTCCCCCTGGGCCGATTTTATAAGTGACAGTTAATAAAGTAACTCGGAGCACCATGTGGACCTAGGCTATTAGTTCTGTGTGTGTGTGTGTGTGTGTGTGTGTGTGTGTGTGTGTGTGTGTGTGTGTCAGCGATGCATCTCACAGCTTTTCCCTTTACACTGCTCGACAAAGCTTCTGTCATTTGGAAACTGGTCTTTGTGTCTGTTATGACAGCTCCCCCCCCCCCCCCCCCCCTTCAACAGGAAGCTACCTTGTTGTGGGATTCTGTGTGTGTGTGTGTGTGTGTGTGTGTGTGTGTGTGTGTGAGTGAGTGTGTGTGTGTGAGTGTAATTGGCCAGCTGTTGACCCATTTGGTAATTGTGTCTGACAGCAGTAAAGGTCTCCCTTAACAACGAGCCGACTGGATGCTTATTAGGGTTTTAACCTGCAGTACTGCAGCAACACTGGTCATATATTGGGGGGGGGGGGGTTACATGAAATTAGTTTTAAAACTTAAAAATAAGCAGAAGTGTTAGATCTTTATATTTATTCCAGAGTGTTTGTTTAAACATCAGCTGGAGTTAATTTCATTTCCACGTTGGAAGCAAATGACCGACGAGTGTCGAAACACACATTTGGACTAATTAGCAGCAAACACAGCAGGCTAAACCAGGCCGGGCTAATTAAGAATGATTGGTGTTTAATATCAGAGCCGCTGATTGTTGGTTTGTTCTCAACAGCAACAAACAGAACCGGTCCAGCAGGGCCACGGTGTTCCAGCGAGGTGGGAGTTTTAGGTCTTTACCAGAAGTCAGAGATCGTTTACATTTCTGATCGGCTCCTCTTGGAACAGTCGAGACGGAACGATGAAAGCTGTAATAACAAGGACAATAATTCAGATAATCACTAATCTCCATTTAAAAATAAAGCACGCAAGTTTCTCTGGAAAACGTTTGAAAATGGCAGAAAAACTACAAACGTTGTTTCTGTTTTAGCCATACACACACACACACACACACACACACACACACACACACACACACACTCACTCACTCACTCACTCACTCACTCACTCACTCACTCACACACACATACACAAACGCACGCACACTCACTCACTCACTCACTCACTCACACACACACACACAAACGCACGCACACTCACTCACTCACTCACTCACTCACTCACACACACATACACAAACGCACGCACACTCACTCACTCACTCACTCACTCACTCACTCACACACACACACACACACACACACACACACACACACACACACACACACACACACACACACACACACACACACACACACACACACACACACACACACACACACACACACTGCCGCTGTCCAGCTGCTGTCTGAGTTAAAGTCTCCATCTGGGACTCTGCGAGGAATCGGAGGACATCAGAGACTAATTATTATTTTAGACGCGAGTCGTCTTCAGAGCTGGAGACCTTCAGATTTCTGAAGGTAACACGTCTGGTTTTATTCTGCCATGGTTATCGTATACCGATAAGATGACTGGTGAGGAAACAAGTAAATGTTGGGTTTTAATAATTCAGTTTTGATGCTTTAAGCATCGTTTCTCAACTTAAAGGCTCCGGATCACAATCCTCTGAGAACAAAGGTAGGCGCAAAATGCGATCTAATCATGCCGTTGTCACTGCTGAGGTGTCATTTATCCTCAATACTAAAGTTATTTACGTCAATCTACATTTATACCTGGAATTGAAATGGTAACGGTCCAACAAGCACCTGCAGCAGCTTCTAGGGAAGGTTGCTGTTTGTCTTGGTGGTCAGGCGGTTTAAGCCACGGCCAACACCGTTCCACTCCCGGTGTCGAACGTGGTTTCTTTAACCAGCTGAAGCAGGTTTCATTCATTTATATGTGTGGGCAACGGCGGCAGGAGTTAAATAAAAAAGCTCCAGAAAGTGGATTTTCATCATGTGGCCCCTTTAAATCAGCCTCATCTGTGATGAGGTAGAAATTTTTACTTCACTGTAATTTGAAATAAGTCTGTTCATCACAAAGAAGACAAACGATTCTGAACCAGTGATTGTCTCATTATTCTGTCAGGCTGGATTATCATCTTTTTTACTTGAACAACCAAGAAGAAAACGCATTGTGTTGTGCATTATGTGAAAATACAGCTTGCCATACGCACAGTTCTGTTGTTCAGACAGAATCCCTCCGTAGTAGGTGTGTGTGTGTGACGTTCTGGCCGAGTCCCCTTTCCTGTCACCACCTCTCGTCGTTAAACTGCCACTCGTCTGTTTCGTTAAACTTTTCCGTCGACCCAAAGCGTCGGTTCTCCTCCACATGGAACCATGTTTAGGTACACTCGTAAAGACAGAACCCATCTTTAAAACATCCTGAAGGCCACTTCCTGTTTCCTGATTGTTTCTCGCTAACGTTACGTGTTTAAAACCTGAAACCCGACGGGGCTAATTGTTTTTCTGTTGTGTTTCTATTCATTCTTACCCAGATCCAGCTGGAATTCCTGAATCCTGGTTTCCTCTGGTGTTCCAGAGAGGTCTCCGGTCTCCTTTTTGCAGTCACCTGATGAGAATAAATGCTTCTTGGAACGTGAACTTTCTTTACACACACGTGTCTGAATGAACAAACCTATGTTTATTGGCTCTAAATCCATTCAAACCAACCGCTGATGCACCCAGCTTCACGTTTGCTCATCTTTTATTTTGTTTTTATTTGACAATGTTTGTTTTATTTGATACTAAAAGTTCACGGTTCCCATAAAACAAGATCTTATTTCTGAGATCAAGCCTTGTCTGTTTGGCAGAACATGAATACACATCAGCTTTCCGACGAACACAAACGAACCTAAAAGAAGATGATGAATGTGTGAAGAATCACGCTGGTGAGCAGAAGACTCGTGCTCAGACTCAGGAGAAGAACCGGCTTCATGTTAGAGATGAAATATGAAGAAGTGACTGAAAGGAGGACCTGAATCTGCAGGGCGATGCGTACAAGGGCACGCTGGTGTGTGTGTGTGTGTGTGTGTGTGTGTGTGTGTGTGTGTGTGTGTGTGTGTGTGTGTGTGTGTGTGTGTGTGTGTGTGTGTGTGTGTGTGAGAGAGAAAGCAGTGGAAGTGAATACAGATTGAGCTGTCAGGACGGTGATTTACTGATACAGGGGTGTGGGGGGGCGATCAATAAGAAGGAAACTGTGAAGGAGAAGAGAGGAGGAGGATGTGGAGTAGAGTAGATGGAGGTAAACGGGAGGAAGGGTGTGTGTGTGTGTGTGTGTGAGATGTGGACGGACGTCCGTGAGAGGACGTGATGCAGCTGAGTTGGCGTGTTTTCACCGGGAGCTGTGTGGTGGTTCCCGTGTCGTCACCATCCTGCTAGCTCCTCAGTTTTCCCTCAGCAGAAGACGTGTAGACACCTGAAAGTGATTTCACTGTTTGTGTTTGTTTAAAGGTTGTTTTTGTGCAGAATGCAGTCCTAAACTCTTTTAAAGGGGCAATATTTACATCCTGTGGTCACATTTGCTTTCTGCAACCCATTTTTTTCAAGAAAACTCACTTTTGCACCACTGTTCCGTGAGTTACGGGTCAACACTATGAAATTTTAGATGGCAAGTGAAGACAAATCACACACAGTAAGCTAATAAGTAGATAAATACATTGTGATATCTGATGTTAGCACCTGGGTGTTTTACGGAAAGGAGCACTTACTACATTTATTACGGTAATATTACTCTGGCTTTACAGGAAGTGCAGTTGTTTGCCTGTTGTTGTTAAAGGTCTGGAGAAGCAATCAAACAAAGTAAAACAACACAACTGACTCATTATTCATTTGACTGTAATGTTCAGCTGTTGGTAATTAGAAAAAGCACCTTGAGATATTTTGATCTAATTCACCGTTAGCATTGCTAGCTCAACGTTATTATTAGCGTAAAACAACAAGATGCCGTGGCGTCTTAGGGGTACAAATGAACGTTGCTGTTTGCCATTTTAATAACAATTTTCTATAATTTTACAGATAGGATCCAACATGGCCGATCGTCCGTATGGATGGTCTATGTAGCGTCCATAATGTTAGCGTGTTAGCATCAGGTCATCTCCTTCTCCATTCACCTGCTACGCCTCGGCGACTGTGGATCGGCCTGAACTGAAAGTATTTAATTCTTCCTTTAATGGACTGAATGTGCGTGTTGACTTGGCTTTATAGACTTGTGCCGGCACTTTCTTCTGCAGATGAACTTCCTAACAGACAAACTTTTTAAGGGCCTGTTAGTTTTCATATGAAGTTATAAAGAACACACACGGGACTCTTGAAGCTGATCGTTCCTGGTCGGGGCGTTTCCTCTTCCCGGTTGGGAATCGATCAAGGCTTTATTAGGTTTTTGTTTAATGTCGTGTTTGTCTGATAAGTCGTCCTCCTGAGGACAGGAAGCTGTGAAGTTTTAAAACAAAGAAGGATCCAAACATCAAAGAAGAGCCGCTGCTTCGCTTCGAAGTTCCCGCAGTCGAGATGTGGTTTCAGCTCGTCCTGAGTCTATCAGGCTTTCCAGGGAACACCGACAGAGGCCGAGCGGATCTGGCTCGTTGAACAGAACCAAACACTAAACATGACAGAAATAAACCTTATGCTGTTGTAAGTGACGGTGACATTCAGACCCTTTAAACTGAACAAACACATGACCTCTGCTGACCTCTGGGATCACTTTAATCGATTTATTAGTCATTCCCATGTTTCCGATCCATCTGACTCCCTGCTCTTCTCCCCACAGCCTCAGACTTCCCGTTATCGTCCTCTCTGTCGAGTCCTGGCTTTGTGGACTTCGGTTTCACTCAGGAACCTCAGGATGCGGTGACGGTCCGAGGCGGCACGCTGCAGCTCGACTGCCAAGCTCAGACAGACGCACCGACTGGACCGCCAACCATCACGTGGCGGAAAGACGGCGTGTTGCTCAGCACAGTGGTGGACGAGCGACGGAGACAGCTGAGCAACGGGACACTGCTGGTGCAGAACGTGCTCCATTCCAGGCACCACCGGCCTGACGAAGGGGGTTACCAGTGCCTCGCTACACTGGACGGACTGGGAAGCATCGTGAGCCGGACGGCGAGCGTCACCGTGGCAGGTAGGGGGCGACATTTGAACCTTTTACACCTTCACTAGTCACGCAGAAACAAAAAGTGAAAACTTTGTTTATTGTTCCACTTTAATGTTGAAAAATGCAAAAGTTAATCACAAGATCAGCTGATTAATATTTATGTTACATGCAGTGTTGCCACAGCTACCTTTAGACAGTAATGTGATTACTGACGACTGATCACTACTGATTGATAAATGAGATGGTAAATGGCCTGTATTTGATATAGTGCCTTCTAGAGTCCTGGAACCCCCCAAGGCGCTTTACAACACAATCAGTCATTCACCCATTCACACACACATTCACACACTGGTGGGGATGAGCTACCATGTAGCCACAGCTGCCCTGGGGCGCACTGACAGAGGCGAGGCTGCCGAGCACAGGCGACACCGGTCCCTCCGACCACCACCAGCAGGCAACGTGGGTTAAGTGTCTTGCCCAAGGACACAACGACAGCGACAGACTGAGTGGGGCTCGAGCCTGCAACCTTTCGATTACGGGGCGAGTACTTAACTCCTGTGCCACCGTCGCCCAACCAAAATGAGATGGTTTTGGTCACACCGTCTTATCCAAGTGTCGACTCCTGGCCTCAGCTCACAGCTGTTTCCACATTTAGCTGGAATCAGATATTTAAAAATGTAAAACATCAGAATAAAATCTTTTTTATTACTACACATACTTGTAGTGACTATCATACTAATATCTATATAGATAGATAGATAAATAGATGCAGATCTATCATGGCTGCACAGGAAAAGGCCCTGAACACCAGACTAGACCCAGGGTGGAGGCTAGAAAGCCCTGAGACGATCCACCACGTAACTGCAGGTGTGAGATGCTGGCAGAGAAAGCATCCATGGAACGCCACAACCAAGTGTCTGGCATCGTGTAGGAACATCTGTGTAGAGTATGGACTGGAAGCTCCTGTGGGACCTCCAGATCCAGACTGACAACCAAGCAGACATTGTGGTGGTGGACAAACAACAAGAGGCCAGCTGCTGTGGTTGGTGTGGCGATAACAAGTGATGCAACACAAGGAAACAGAAACAGGAGAAACTAGAGAAGCACCAGGGAAGAACATCGGTGGTGCCCGGTCAGACGTCTCAGTCCAGAAAAGAGAAGATCTAGGAACGGCTAAGGTGCCGCAGAACCCTCAAGCTCCCAGGCCTCTGGTGGAGGACCCGAGCTCGGAAGGATGAGACCCCCCGCGGAGCGTGGGTTGGGGGTGTTTCTACATGTATAATGCTTGTAATTCCCTGGACGTTTCTTTGTTGGGCTGTAAAAGTTGTTTGCTAATCAGCTAGATCAGGTGATTTTATGAAGATTATTTTTTAAAGTGAATAATAAATAATTAAAATACAAACAAGCTGGAGCTGATCTACCTTCCTACCCTCACCTATGTTCACGAGGGTGGCTGGACTCTCCCTTAGAGATAGGGTGAGAAGCTTGGTCATCCGGGAGGGGCTCGGAGTAGACCCGCTGCTCCTCCACATCGAGAGGAGCCAGTTGAGGTGGCTCGGGCATCTGGTCAGGATGCCTCCTGGACGCCTCCCTGGTGAGGTTTTCCGGGCACGTCCAACCGGGAGGAGACCTAAAGGTGGACCCAGGACACGCTGGAGGGACTACGTCTCTCACCTGGCCAGGGAACGCCTTGGGATTCCCCCGGAGGAGCTGGCCCAAGTGGCTGGGGAGAGGGAAGTCTGGGCCTCTCGCCTTAGGCTGCTGCCCTCGCGACCCGACTCCGGATAAGCGGAAGAGGATGGACAAACAAACAAAACAATCACCAAATCTGCTCATAATTCCTATCTTTTTGGGGCATTAGGAGTCATTTATTACACACATTAATAAACAAATAAGGATTAAAACCTTGTGTAGGAATAACTATTATGGTAAATGTTCAGAGAGCACCTTGACCCGTCCTTGCTGGATATATTTGATGAACAGAGTTGGTTCCGTTTAACATCCTCCGTCTGTTTCGCGGCTCATATTTATTTAATAAAGCCGAAGTAGCTCACCTGTAATGTAATTTACAAAGTGCAGCGCGGCCTCGGATCAATACGCTTTATGGAGCGAGTTATTAGACAAAGAGCTTCGCGGCTTTAAGAGCTCCGCCATCATCGTGTGTTTGGAGTCGCGGCCGATCTGGAGTCGGCGCAAAAACAAAATTAACATCAAATCTATCAGAATAAGTGGAATCAGCGGCGCCCGACGTAAGCAGGCAGAGTTAAACACGTTTAAAATCACACAGAGAACAGCCTCAGTTCAGAGAAACCCAGACTAATCCTCAGCCATCTCAAACGCACGCTACACTGTTAAAAATCCAACTTGCAATTTGTTTGGAGAGTTTAAAGTTTTAAGTCAGTTGAACGTTTTAACTTGCAAAATGTTAAGTTAATACAGAAAGCAAGCACCTAAAAAGTTGACTGAACTTAAAATTGCTTTGCAACTGGTTGCTTTACTTTGTTAAGTTCACTGGACTTTTTTTTTTTACAGTGTAGCCTTTCGTGGCACTTCACACAAACTCGTGTGTTTTGAAGCTTTTATGCATTCACCACTTCATATTCGGGTGTTTAGTCAGAGCTCTTCTGGTTTCTGCTGCGTGTGGACTTGGTTGTTTGGGATATTCCTGCGCTAAACCCCCCTTAGATGCCTTTTTTTAAAACTTTCTCAACCTTTTTTTAAGACATTTTGGGTTTAATCTCACACTGCCCTCCCCATTAGATTTTCTTATCATGCCACGAGTCCTCCCGTCATGGAAAACCTCGGATCAGACAGCGATCCCATCAGACTCCGCGGCCGACTGTTTCGGGAGCTTTCGTCCGTCTGGAATGAAACTTTTTAGTTCTTGATGGAAACCAAACGGAACTGTTTTCATTTCAAAGTGACTCTAATAGAAAAATCCTTGTGAACATTTAACAAAAGGAAAATCTGAAGTCCTGAAAACCGTCGAAGATAAAACGTCGAGATAATAATTTCCTCCCAGCAGGGATCCATAAAAACCAGTCAAGCCAGATCAAAGGAAGAAATGAGATGATTGTGCGTTTTGGATGGAAATTAAATGAGTACAAAGCCACATTTCAGATGATGATGATGATGATGATGAAGAGCCACAGGCTCAGCCAGCGTGAGAGCCTGACCAACATCAAAAGCAGTGCCCCTGTACGCCGTTGTCAGCTCTGATCTTGTAAGTGTGTGTCGTACTTTCATCGTTCTCTGTTGGGAGGTTTGCTGCTGTGCAACACTTAAGTTAAATCTGTTGGCTTTGAGGCGAACTGGACTCGGTCAAATCAGAACCAGCGGATCAGAGCTGAGCAGGAATCCCATCGAAACCAGCCTTCAAACCCAGAATCCCACGAAAGGACGTCGGACTGCCGGAGCAACGGGAAACACCCAGATGGTCATTAATGCTGCATCTGGAGACTCTGGTAAAGCAGCCATGGTGGCGACGGTGATGTTGATGATGGTGCGGGGGGCGTGTTCTTTCCAATTGCAACGTCGACCTCGTCTGACATCTGTGTTGCAGCTCTAGATTCTGTAATTCATGCCTTCATCATTTACTGATCAGATTATGCTAGTTGTGTACTTGCTGCTGCGGTCTCGACCACGAACGGGCTTCAGGCGGTCCACAACACTGACCGGCTGGGTCGTGTTACCCAGATTGTGGCACATCGGCTCCCGGTCCTGATTCGCGTACGGTTTCATCTTGCTTTTGGTTTTTAAAGTACTGAACGCGCCTGTCTGCCACGCTAAAGCCCTGAAAACCAACGGGCTCACTGGGGTCAGCCTGTTGCTCTGATGAAGACGACGATGATGATGGTGGAGGCCAATATGATGGTGGTGACCCGCACTTGTATAGCACCTTTCAAACTCAGAGATGATGGTGGTGGTGATCATGGTGATGATGATGATGATGAGGAAGATGAGGAAGATGATGGTATACTTAACTAGGACCACATTTCCTAGTCTGGGGGTTCAACTTGCCCGACGAGCACACATCTCATCCATAACATAGACAAACATAACTAGATAAGAAGCTAAAACTCCCGACTAACAGCTGATTGCTGTTAAACACACAAGCTGAACCAACATGGCGTTTGTTTACATCTGGTTCCGGTTCTCTTCCTGCTCTCCTCCAGGTCCGCTGAGGGTGATCGTTCCGACCGAGTCCGTGTCCTCCTACCTCGGCGACACGGCTCTGCTGCGCTGCGAGGTCTCTGGTGACCCGGTACCCGTCATACGCTGGCAGAAGAACCGGGAGGACCTGCCGCTGACCTTTGAACCTGACTCCCGCCTCGCAGTGTTGCCGTCCGGCTCGCTGCAGGTCAGCCGGGTTCAGCCGCCAGACTCGGCCATGTACCGCTGTCTGGCCGATAACCCGGGCAGCACCAGAACCGGGACGGACGCGGAACTCCGAGTGCTTCCAGGTAATGGAAGTGTTTATTCCAGCTCTTCACCGTGAGTTTTGCCGTCGGCTGGACTTGAAACCTTTCATCTGCTTTACTGTGTGGTGGCAGTCGCTGCGGTCTAAATAGTTTTAAATCATCACAAGAGTTTAGCTTCAGCAGGTTTCAGACGAGTCAGCTGGTTATTAATAAACTGCTGTTTATGTGGAGGTAAAAACGCCGTCCATCTTAAAGACCAAGTTCACTTGTTTCTTCTACACATCTGCAGGGACCTCTAGCATAAATGGCTGCCTTGAGAATCAATCTCAGTGGGGAAAAAGCTCTGGCGCTCCTGTTTCAGGAAGTAGACGTTAGTTGGAGGAGAAATAGCTTCAGGCGACGGGATCTGGAGTCTTATTTCCTGACATCTCTCCTCTGATTGGCTAACAGCAACACGACTCTACCACCGAATCTGTTTGCTCTGCAACGTTGATGTTTTACCTCCACAAATAACACGAGCCTGGAGGAGTTCTGCTGTGTGGTGGAGGTGCTAATGCTAACAGTTAGCTTCTACTAGCTGTGACGTTATCTACTGTTTCCTGGACGCTAAACCAACAACATCCTTCCCCGTCGTGAGTCCAGATGGGTGACTCCATGAATGTTAGTGACAGGGTGACGTAGATCTGTCAGGATTTTCTAATCCGAGAGTTTCACCGTCTGCTTTCTATCAGAAGCTACTGCAGGAGATAGATGTAGGAGACTATCTTCATGTTCAGCCTGCATGAAACACTCAGAGTGACCCGTTAGAATCAGAAATAATCAGTAAAGGAACAGTTTCTCGGTGAACCTGCACTCCAGAGCTTAAGTGAAACCAAACACACTGAAGTCATTATTAAAGGGACTTTACAGACTTTTGAATTTTTATGCTCGCGATTGCCCCCTCAGGCCAAAAGTGTAACGGCAGCTTCAATAGGGGGCTCGTGCACGAGGCGCGCATGCTGTACGTGCACACTCCTTAACGAAAATAACAGCTGAGACAGTCAGCTCCGTGTGTGTGTGTGTGTGTGTGTGTGTGTGTGTGTGTGTGTGTGTGTGTGTGTGTGTGTGTGTGTGTGTGTGTGTGTGTGTGTGTGTGTGTGTGTGTGTGCGCGTGTGTGTGTGTGTGTGTGTGTGTGTGTGTGTGTGTGTGGCCCGGAGGACAGAGGACAGGAGAACGTGCAGCTAATTAATGAAATAATGTGGTTCTGTAGCTTTCTCTTCAGCACAGCCGACAAAGGTTTATGATGGGTCAGTCCTCCTGCATGCTCAGATCATTCCCTTCCCTTGCTTGAAAAATTGTTTCAAAATGAAAGTTGAACCCACATCTTTTTTATCTGTGAATTCAATGCCGTTCCGCGAGTCTCAAATAAAAATTTGGGCATCTTACTGTAAAAAAATATACATTAATGTAAAAAAGAAACTCTAAATGAACTATGTTCACATCCAGAATCAAACCCGGGACTTCAGCACGAAATCCAGAAGTCTTACTAGGTGAGCTAAAGCGCCAGTGGCATCTCCTGTATCTGTAACATTTATATCCTTGATGACAGCTGAAACAACGTTCAAAGAACGGTTCAGAGGGCGATGCCTGAGCGTGAACGCGCATGAAGCAGCCTGCTCGACCCGAGCATCTCTCTTTTTCTGTGATTTTACAGAAAAACAGGCAATCACAGTAAAAATGCCAGGGCTCATTCTACAGGACCAGGGCATTGCAGGAGAACGTATGAAGAAGACATTTATTATTTCTATACATGTTTTGGCCGTCAAACTTCCATAATGCCCCTTTAAGGGTTTTATTATAAGTTGTGTTTGTAATTTTTGCCTCATGCATAAACTGTGATGAGTCTAAAGTCTTGATTTGATGGAAGCAGAGCTAATGTCTCGTTACAAGTTCTGCTCCGGTGGTTTTTATTTGGTTCTGAAGCCTGCAGACGTGGTTTAGTCAGCTGGTGGCTCAGGCTCTCGGCTCCCCGCTCCGGGAGTCATTTTCTGTGACGGAATGAGATGTAATGCATGTATAGGGTGTGTGTGTGTGTTTGTGTGTGTGTGTAGTAGAGGGGATGGCTCTGCAGGGAGTCTGTCAGACACTGATGTTACACTCCACATCTTCCAATTACTCACGGACGTACGCCGTCCACTTTATCGCTCAGATTACCGCCCAGGTTGGCCCCACTTAAACACCGCTTTCAGATGAAATTATGAAGTGTTTCTGCGTTTGCTCACAGCAGGGGGTCCTCCCCGGGGCTGGAGCGCCGACCTTCAGCAGGATAATCACGTGCTCTTTACATTTCAAAGCCTGACTCTCCGTCTCTAGGCCCACACGGAGCAGTCCCACAAAGTTAGACTCGGAGACTAGGAGAGGATTTATTTACAAACTGTTCATCACCTTCGTGCACGGCGGAGCGTTGGTGTCGCTGCAAAGCAGAGGTTCTCCATACTGCCTAAACTATAAGATGCAGAGACACAAATCCAGGGCCAGTCTAGTGGTTTCTGCTGCAGAGACTTCCTGCAGCCCTTCACAATAAGAGCCTCAAGCTGAAAATCAAAAGATCTCAAGCTTATAGACATCGTTTAGCATAGTTCTAGGATAAAACGTCCCCTAACTCACACACACACACACACACACACACGCACGCACGCGCGCGCACACACACACACACACACATACACACACTAACACACACACACTAACATACACACACACACACACACACACACACACACACACACACACACACACACACACACACACACACACACACACACACACACACACACACACACACACACACACACACACACTAACATACACACACACACTAACACACCACTAACATACACATACACACACAGAGACAAACACACACACACACGCACACAAACACACACACACACACACACACACACACACACACACACACACACACACACAACTTCCGTTAACTCGAGGGTGAAAACATCGCGTCTCCTCGGCTGAAGGAATTTCCCGGTTCAAACGGAAAAGTCCGGCGCCCAGAACCCCGATGCTCGTGGGTCAGTGTCTCTGGTTCTGGTTCACCTCTGAGACGTTCTGGTCTCGTTGCTGTCTCCCTGTGTCCTCCTGCCTCTGACTCCGGCTGGGATTAATGACCCCGCGCAGGTTTGGATCCAAACATGCAGAAGTTTTTAGTTGAATTTGAAGCGATTTTTGATTTGAGCCCTGTTCCTGGTTCAAATCCTCTTTTCTGTTTGATCGCTGCGGCGTTTTAATGCATCAGACGATTAAGCTTTTACTGTTCTGACCACATGAAGGCTTTATCCGCTGGAGCCATCAGCCCCACTTGGAGGTCAGAGATTATCAGATGTCTGATTTCCCCGTGTCATCTTCAGATAATGCAGTCCAGTCGCGCTGACCTTTAACTGCCAATCGACTCGCTTCCGGGAGATTTCACTCCCCGGATTAAAGAAGGAAGTCCAAAGCTCGGCTCTGTCTTCCACAGAAACTTTAAACAGCGGCGGTCGGACGGAGACAGAAGTGCATGGTGCTGATGTTTTCAGAGGCGGCACTAAGCAACCACAACTTCATGAGCACCTTCGCTGGCGCTGCCGGTGGAACTGGCAGACTCCAAACGCTGCTGGGTGATAAAAGAGTCAGGTGGGTCGGCGCCAACAGCCGGACCTGATATTCATCATTATAAGAAGATTTTATCCAGATGTAGCTGATGACCTCAGTCGGACAATAAACAAGCGTTTTGTCTCGCTTTCTCACGATGATGTCATGACCATGTGTTTCCAAGTGTGTTCCCTCTTGGCTTCCGTAGCTTCCACACCACGACATCATCTGAAGACAATCATTTGTTGTTGAGTTTGGGGCGGACTAATACGTGATTCAGCAGCAGATGATGTCCAGATGTTGCTCCGCCCCCATTGTCATGCTTTCTGACGCCTTTGGAAGTGTCACCCGACCGATGCACAAGCGTTAGTCGTGTAAACGTGGTAAACTCAGATTTCTTTGGTTCTGGAGGCTTTAACATCACGGGCAGCAGGAGCTCAGGAGGTGGAACGGGTTGTACAGTAATCAGAAAGTTGTTGGTTCAATCCCGGCTCCCACCAGAGAATGCTGCTGTTGTGTCCTTGAGCAAAATACTTAACCCGCCTTGCCTGCCGGTGGTGGTCTGAGGGACCGGCAGACTCGCCTCTGTCAGAGCGCCCCAGGGCAGCTGTGGCTACATCGTAGCTCATCACCACCAGAGAGCCGGAAAGCAAAGATCTCGATTTACCGCCCAGCCCTCACCTACGGTCACGAGCTCTGGGTGATGACCAGAAGAACAAGATGGCGGATACAAGCGGCAGACATGAGTTTTCTCTACAGGGTGGCCGGGCTCAGCCTTAGGGACAGGGTGAGGAGCTCGGACATTCGGGAGAGCCTCGGAGTAGAGCCGCTGCTCCTCCATATCCAGAGGAGTCAGTTGAGGTGGTTTGGGCATCTTGTTAGGATGCCTCCTGGACGCCTCCCCAGCGAGGTGTTTCAGGCATGCCCTGCCGGCAGGAGTTCCCCCGGTCCACCCAGGACACGTTGGAGAGGTTACATCTTCGATCTGGCCCAGGAATGCCTGGGGGTCCTGCCGGAGGGGCTGGTGGAGGTGGCCGGGGAGAGGACGGTCTGGAACTCTGTAGTTGGGATGCTGCCCCCCGCAACTCGGATAGGCGGAAGAAGACGAGACGAGAGAAGAAATAATCTGGTGGATCGTTTTATTGTGATGCTTCTAGCTGAAACCTGTTTCTACCTTCCTTCTTAATAATCCAGATCCCCGGTTCCTCGTTTTCCTGCTGATCATTGCTGCTTATTAATTATAACAGAGTAAAAATACATCAGCTGGAAATCCACCACACAGCAGAACTCCTCCAGGCTTGTGTTATTTGTGGACATGTGACAATGTTAGTGTCCTGTCACAATGTCCCGACTGATCATGCGCCCTGGCTACTTGGCCAAGGGGATGTGCCTTTGGCTGACTGGTTAGAGCGTATGACTCTCACCCGGGAGTCTGGGGATCGAATCCCGCCCGGGCCCTCGTTTATCCACCTTGCCACAGACATAAAACATCAACGTTGCAGAGCAACCGGAGTCAGTGGTAGAGTCGCGTTGCTGTTAGCCAATCAGAGGACAGATGACCTCATATCAGGAAGTAAGGCTCCAGATCCTGTCTTGTGAAGCTCAGCTGTGATGTGGGAAACTT